GACTGCTCTGGGCCACGCTCCCCCTGGAAGAGGGAGCCCCACCGCGACTGGTTTAGCCCTGCACTGGAAGGGTTAATCCAAATCTCATCTCTTTCTTCCTCCACGGACTTTGAAAATAATTTGATCTCCATCCTTTCCTTCCTGTTGACAGGAAGCCCTTCTCTGCCAACTCCCGGCTTGTCACAGACCAATCAGATACCATCCGGGCTTTTGCCAGGGCCTCGGTGTTTTGATATACTCTGACCTGGCACCGAGTTGCTGATGAGTGTTCGACAAAGACCAATTTGCTCTTGGAAACCTCAGGAGTCCAGCCTTTTATTCACGAGGCGGAGGCCGTGATCAGAATAAATTGGTGATTATAATAGAATCAGGGGCATAGAAAGGGAATGGACTGACTATTGTCGGGGGGAAAGGGGTGTGGGGGTGCGTGAAGAGACTGGACAAAAATCGTACACCTAGGGATGAGGACAGTGCGGGGAGAGGGGAAGGGCAGAGGGTGGGGTGGGAACTGGGTGGAGGGGAGCTATGGGGGGGGAAAAGAGGAACAACTGTAGTAATCTGAACAATAAAGATTTAATTAAAAAAAATAAAATAAAAACAAAAAAAGGGGGGTGAAGAATGTTATATGTTAAATTTAAAAAAAAAAAATACAATGCAGAGGGTTGTACAGCAGCCAAAAGGCCTCGGGCCTCCTAATAGCCTCTGCCGACTCGGCCTGGTAGAAGGAAACACAAACCAGACATGAGTTTTACCAGATCAGCAATGATGTGGGGAAGAGGCTGTGTTTTGTATCTTTCCAGAAGGAGCAGTGCAGACAGTTTGGGTACCAGAGCGTTACGAGCGTCACCACAGTGGACCCAGAGAAGCTCCTTGTCCCATCGTCCCAAAGACTTAGAGTTGCCCCGATGACAGAAAAGCGGAAAAAAGGAGAAAAGGAAGGCTACGCAAGGGACCGAGGTGCCAACACGGGGTCAGCTGCAGAAGTTAACAACCGAGGCCCAGCAGATGGTGGAAAAGCAAGAAGTGGAAGCTACTCTCTCCGCCAGGTCCGAGGACTCTGAGTAAATCAGCCAAAGAAACTTTCATTTAGCAGAAACTCACCTCTTGCTGTTTGCATTGCCATTGTTTGAGTATTCTTACTAGTTTTAAAAATGTTATGTTTAAGTTTTAAAATGTTCCGGGTTTTGCATGGGCATTGTCTTGTTATTGTTTTAATAGCCAGAGTTTTGTGCTTGATGCTTAAGTTTTACTTTCATTATGGTAGCTTTTTGTTCTTGATGCTTAAAAACTGTCATTATAGTAGCTTAAAATATGAAAGAAGGGTGAGATGTGGGGAGCCGATATAGGGTTAAGCCTCGGACTGACCTGTTGGCTAAGTCACAAACAAGTCTTCTTCTGAGTCTTAAACAACCCAATCCGAGAGGTGGCCGCTGATTTACACGTGCTGTCATTTAAAAAATAAAAATGGGGGAATTTGCCAGAAGCCGGTCCACCCTTGCTGCTTGACACAGTCGCTGCAGGGAAGAAACATCTGCACAGCTTATGTTTCAAGTGAC